TCTACAATACGAGGGTCATTAAGACTATCTACTACCCGAGGGTCATTACGACTATCTACAATACGAGGGTCATTACTAGGGATAAGGTAAAATTTACACGTATTTTAGCTAAAAAATAGAAAATCATTCCCCTCCCTTTCTGTTGCTTCATTCATCAGACACTTTTTGGCAGTCTTCTTGAACTGGTTCAAGCTATGACTGGCCTTGACATTTGTGGGTAGTCTGTTCCATTCCTTTATTGCTGTACAATAAAAGGTGTTTGAAGCCTGGCCACTGACTGTGGGTACTACAAAGTTGTGCTCTCTCCCCCTAGTACTATGATTGCTGCGGATTGCTGGCACTGGACAAGCACCTGAAGTCGGTACCTGACCAGCCGGGCTGTGGTTCGTACGTTGGTTTGCGTGCAGCCAGCAGTAACAGTCTGGTTGATCAGGCTTTGATCCACCAGGAGGCCTGGTCACAGACCAGGCCGCGGGGGCGTTGACCCCCGGAACTCTCTCCAGGTAAACTCCAGGCGCTAAGCCCACAAGGGTCATACAGCGATGAAGGGTAATAAGCTTGATGTGAGACTAGCAAGGGTGGCTAGTGTGTCTAGGGTGGCCCCGTGGCCTGGTGGCTAAACATCTCGCTTTACACGGTGAGTGTCTGAGTTCGATTCCCAGCGAGGGTAGAAGCATTTGGCGTTTCCTTACACCGGTTGTCTATGTTCACCCATTAGTGAAATGGGTACCTGGGAGTTAGTTGACTAGTGTGGGTCGCATCCTGGGATAAAACTGACCTAATTTGCCCTAAATGCTCAGCATAACAAGCGACTTTCTATATAGTAGTATGTCATTGATGTCAGCTAGACCTGTATACCTTGTACATGTACTTGTGGAAATAAAGATATTACTATTATTAAAGGAACGCAAAAATCACAAATTATTACACTCAGGGGGATGAGCACTGAACCTGTTGCGGGTCGTACAACACAAGGGAAAATGGAAGACTATCAGATTCAATCCAAGGAGTGAGAGTGTAACACCGGTTCCTTGGATTAAGGATAGTCACAAAGACAGAACTGTTTAAACACAGTAGGAAAGTATGTACTCTAAACACTGATCTTCATTTTGTTTCAGACTTTTCCTCTTTCGTATCCTTTTGATTATTATTATAATCAAAAAGAAGCGCTAAGCCACAAGGACTATACAGCACGTATCCTTTTGAGACATCTATTATTTTTACATTCATTGTAATAGGTTCACCAGTCTTGTCCCGGCCCGGGTCTTTTCCAGATGGTGACCTGGCATTTACATTCATGGGATGCTAAACCCATAGGGGTCATACAGCACCTGGATCAAAGTCTCTTAAACAGCATCAAGGATCAGTATTACATTTATGGTGAAGCTCTAAACCCATTAACTATACAGTATGTATCTGGGAAATGGAAGGCAATTGGGTTCGATCCAAAAAAGGGATAGATTCAATTCCTTGGATCAAGAGCCCTACCACCAGCATCAAGGACCCTCCTTCATGGAGCGACATCCACTGCTACTTTCATAAAGCAACTTCCTTAATACTGTACCAGTGAGAGGAGCTCGAGTCAGGGAAATGGGCATGATCACCTTCCTTTGATCAAGCCTTATTGCCTCCCATTTCCCAATCCCTGAATGACCCTATGGGTTTAACACCCCCTCTCCTCATTAATTCAACAATTTAAGGAAATTTGACAAACCAGCAGTTTAAATATACTTTACTTAATTACCCAGAAAATATTTAAATTATCTGAAATATGGTCATTTACTATATTCATATTATTATTATAATCAAGGGGAAGCGCTAAACCCGGAGGATTATACAGCGCCTGGGGGGGGGATGTGGAAGGCATTCAGGCTTAATTCGGGGAACTGGAGCACAGATTACTATATTCATAGGGGTTGTAAAAGAAGAAAATGTTAATGTTGGGGATTATTACATTCATGGGGGAGGAGGTTAAGCCCATAGAGGTCATGGCACCTGGAGGAATGGGAGGTATTTAGCTGTCCAAAAAGCTCCAGCTGCAGGTCATCATATGACTAAGACCTATGTCAGGAAACAGGAGACCTAACCTCTGTTCCAAGGGAAGCACCAGCCCATTTCCTTAGATCAAGAGCCTCTCACCAGCATCAAGGAACCTCTCTTGAAAGGAGCATTGGATTATAATTAATTTGACACAAAATGAGAGTTGTCAGTTGCTTTTCAACCAATGACACTAATAATGTTGGTAGAATTACCGATGACAGTTCTTTTAGGAGATTCTGAAAAGAGGTTGCAATGGTTGGTGGAGTGTATGTAAAAGGAAATTAAAAGTAAACAGGAAAGAGCAGGGTGATGAGATTATGAAAATATAGGCAATTAAAGATTTGATATCTAACTGGAGGGAGTATCAAGTAAATGTGTTCGGATACTATTTGGGAATGGACTTTTGGACAGATGAGTAAATGAAAGATGTGAACCACAAAAAAGGGCCTTGTATCAAAGTGTAGTGATACCAACACATGTATGGGTGAGACAAAGGGTTTAAATGATGTAACTTGGAGGGTAAAGGCAGTGAAGATGTGTGAGTGGGCAATATGGTGTAACTAATATGAAGAAAATTCAAAGTTTGGAAACTAAAGGGGTGTGGGGTCACCAGAAGTATTATTCAGAGTAGAAGACAGATGTTGAGATGGCCGAGACATTTAGAGGGACCAAAATATAAGGAGGGTGTATAAATATGGGGTAGAGAGAAGGGGTAGGGGACATCCCAGGAAAGGTTGGAGGAAAGCGACAGCAAAAATGTATTTTTCAGGTTACTACTTCAACAAGCCTTCACATACTTAAACACTAAACCTGCAATATATTATACATTGAAAAAAGGCTAAGCAGAAAAGGGTTTTATACCACTTAAATGTCATGGTGTCTGGAATATAAAGAATGGGGCAATCAGGTTTGAGCTTAGGTAAGAAGTTGTAATGCCTTAGATCAAAAGATCATTTTCATCAAGGCACTTTCCTTCAAGAACCCACTTCAGAATATCCTGAATTAGGATGGTGGCAGCAGCAATCATACTAAGTTAAAATAACCAGCATCATTTCAAAACCCCATTAATTATTAAGGTCCCAAAAGGAACCTCCACAATTATATAAACCATGACAAAGGCCTGAGATGTGGGCAGATTTTATTGGGATAGTAAACTATTGTCTATTATAATAAAAAAGCACTAAACCCATAAAGGTCATATAGTGCTGCACCGTAGGGCGTGTTTGATCGAAGATGAGCGAGGGTGGAGAGTATAACAGAGGCCGAGTTAGGGTGATGAGGGGCACTAAAGGAAGTAAAATAAAAATTTGTATAATAAATCTGTTGCTGTCAAAATGTCAAAGAGGGAGTCTTGTCAAAGGTGGGGCAGTTAGCAAGGATGGAAGATAAAGTAAGGGTGTTAGCGTGGTGATGTCGGAGGTAAATTCTGCGTGCCTGCTGATCAACAGGACAGTCCAATAGAAGATGGCAAACTGAAACTGGAACTTGACAGTTATCCGAGTGTAATTGGGCTCCCTTCCACGAGATACCCATGACCAGAAGCCTAAACACTGCTTGACACAACGTAATTTGTTACAAATCAACTCATATCAACGTTGTTGCTGACGGGTACAAAGATAGTTTAGATATTACAGCAAAATAGTCTGAGAATGGAATACCATTATGTGAAATGTGAAGGTCATGTACCGCTGACCATGCAGCAGTCTCCTGCTTGTTTCCCTGAACATCAACATAACCAGGGACCCAGGAGAAAACTTTTTGTTTCTGCAAGAAATATGGCATAAAGTTGTATACAAAGAACTAGGGGATGAGGTGAATTAAATTTTTTGATAGCTTGCAAAGCGCTAAAGTATCAAACTACCACAAATGTTGAGGTAGGGCTGGATACAATACATACAATGGCTATGAGAACTGCATACAGTTCAGCTGTGAAAATGCTAGCAGTGTCTAATAAATGATTTCACACAATACTGCAAACCCAACACCATCAAAGGATTCAAAACCATCACTATAAACTGCAACAGCATGAGAATGGACTGGAAGTGGTTAAAGAAAAGGGAGCGAGAAGCAACTATAGGTATTTGAGCTTGTGCGCACGGCAGTAGGGAAGAACAGACTCGAACTGTCAGAACCTCCCAAGTGGGGAGAGAAAAGTTAGATGCTAGAGGAACACACAAAGGGGAGCAACTGAAGAGAAGCCAAGAGCAAGTGAAAACGAAGGGAAAAGGGACAGAGTAAACAGGGGCGGCAAATAAATAATGGACCTCTACTAATGTCCATTACCATCCTGTATGTAGAAGGATCATAAAGGTCATGAGTGGAGAAAATGTGAAGGTAATGGGCATCACACCAATCATTCAAAGATGAAACATTCGCCTATGCATATAAGCTCTCAACAGGGTAGGAACAAAAAGCATCTAGACACAAATGTAATCCCTGATTATAAATGGGATCAAGTTTAGAAAGAATTGCAAGAGAAGCCACAGAATATACTTGGTCGCCATAATCTAGTTTTGATAAGTTAGGTTTAAACAGAGTTGGAGAGTACAACGATCTGTCCCCCAAGAAAGATGAGCAAGGGTTTAAAGGAGGTTCAGCTGGCTATGGCAAGTTGCTTTCAGGGAGGTAATGTGAGGTTTCCAGGATAGCCAGTGATCAAACACAAGACTGAGAAACCTGACCATATCACGTTCAGGGATCTTGGAACCATACATGCATGTATAATGATTGTCTGCTATAAATATTATGCAGTATTACTTCTATTCCCTAAAAGTGTAAGCAGCATGAGTAAAAACCATTTGCACTTACCTTAAATAGCCATTTAAGCAGTGTTATGGCAGTGCTTGTGTGTAATTTTATCATTGCTGATATTCATTTCGGAATGCATTAATGAGAGATTAGCTGGTCTAAAACCTTAAAAGAAATACCACTAAAATGAGGGACAAAAGGAAGATCAAGAGTAGTATAAAAAAATTTATTAATGGAATCACAGTTGTCTTGTACCTTGCCTCCCTTGAGCCACTTATGACAGGTAAACAAAGCTGAATAAACACTACACTAAGCAGATGACATCGTAATTAAAGGCAAAGAACAAAATTATTAATTTTAATGTAAAGGGAAATACATATGGAGCCATATGAACAGACTTTCGTGAAAAATTATAACATTTTCTCAGGAAATTCAATTTTTTATAAAAAGTGCTAAACCAGGAAATGCACAGCTAGGATGTTTATTATTCATTGGGAAGAGCAACCTGTAGGGGTCATATAGCAATTGTTCGAAAGTGTATACAAAATGGGGGGAAAAAAGATCTTTGCTTGCTTTATATTTTGAAGTTCAATCAATTATTTTACATTGCTTATATAGTATAACACAATAGAATCAAAGATCCAATAATAAAATAATAAAAAAATAAGCACTAATCTTAGAAGTGTCACAGATATCCAATGACTATGCACAAATTCACATTTATTTACAATGAGAAATGGTTTTCTTCTAAATTCATACACAAAATGCATAAATTATAAATTTTTACATAAACTACCCAAATATAATCAAACTATAGCACTAAATCCAAAAGGGTGTACTAATTAGATAACCATTAAAGGTATTATGAATAACAAAATACAGGATATTATTAATTTTAATAACCCTACATGTAAAAAAAAAATTATATACAGAATACAGTATAACCACTGAGCTTACATAACACTATGCAGACAATAAACATGCATTAATTTTTTTTCTGTTCTGCCATTTAAGAGTTTTTGTATTCACAAAATTCACTCTGTATGGGTCACAAATTTAGGAGTATTAACAAACTGAAAGTAGTTCTTACGTAGATTAAGTGCCATTTCTTACAAAGTATTAGATAAAAAGGAACTGTACTCCTAATCCATTTCATCTGATCATTACAGGCAATTCCAGTACATGCAAGGTAAATTAAACCAAGAGAGCAGTGTTAAAAAAAATAATAAAATGAAGTGCTAAGCCCAAATTGAATTTAAAGGAATTTTTCTTTCAGAGGAGTAAACGAATGTTATTACACAGTATCATGGCTTAGCGCTTCTTTTTGATTATAATAATAATACACAGTATCATAATATCAAGGGATTCAACCAGTGTTTTTAATCTGCCTCCAAAGCCCCCAGAGAAACCAGGCTACTATTTTAACTAAGTCACAGTAGCTAGACAAAGGGTAAATCATTATCCTCAATAACAGTGTGGGTGATATTTGCTTTGTCAGTATATATGACACTCTGGTGCTGGAACTCCATGGTCTGGTAGGTAGTAGCAGCTACATCCCAGGTGGCAGTGGCAAACAGGTCCGTGTGGTACGCGACTGTAGTGTTGATGACTGTAGCAAATGCCACCGTTGAGGTGGAGATGGTCTGGTTGTTGATTGTAGTTACATTCCTTTGTTGATACTCCACTACATGGGATGGCCAAAGGGGCTCCAGGGTGTTCATTACAGTCTAAGTGAAAGAGAATGTTACCCAGGGAGCATTATAAGCTTCAATTAAAAAAAAAAAAAAAAAAGTGCAGTGATGAGAAAAAATTATGGTCAGTAAGAACAACATACAGTACAGAACAGTAAAAATAAAGGGAATAACAAGAGATCACTTCATATACATGACCTGTCTGTGACTGCAAAGAGTTACATGAAATTTCTCTAGAATTCATTATTTTTACTGAGGCTGTTTACACATACTGTAGATACACAGCCACCCCCTTGATTAATCAAGACAGGAACAGGAGAATCACATTTTCCCCTAGAAACTCGTATTGTAAATGGAGGTGGGTGACAAGACTCGGGCCAGGACTATGCCAGTGAATCAAACTAGAACTGGTGGGAGAGCAATGGTGGGAAGTTGGTTGGCAATGGAGGTAGGAAGTGCTGGTGAAGCAAGGGAATATGCAGGAGGAAAGAGGTGGCCTGTCTTCCAAAAGAATTGTTCATAGCCTGCTGATGAACCTTAACTTATGTAAATTACCTTATTCCTATCTCAAGCATAAACCAAATTGTGAAGTCATGTGTGGTAGATAAATTGCTGGAGTATAAATACTGATAACATGGCTGAAAGTGGCATTAGAGCTCACACCATCACCATCGCAGAAATTTCCATTAGGTTTCTCGATTGCCTTTACTTATCAATTCTATCTGTAACTGTAGAAAGTAGCTGCCAATGAGAGCATGATATAGTAAAAAAAAAAAAAAAAAAAAAAAAAAAAAAAAAAAAAAAAAAAAAAAAAAAAAAACAGTGAAGTTGGGAGAGAAAAACATAGGGTTTTGTAGGTGTGGGATTGGTCTGAAAATAGCTTCAAAAAGAAATTCACCCTTAAGTTACAGCATATACAGTACAAGCAAACCTCATTCATCATAGATCTTCTCCTATAACAAGATCACTTGAAAATCTAGAGATTATGGTTACAAGTAAAAATTATTTGGCTCAAATAAATGCTATGCTACAAAATAAGTACAGGTTAACCATCACTAATCCAGCACCATCAGGACCTGTAGGGTGCCAGATTAGGTTAGAATACACTTAACCCAACAGCGATATTTGCGCATCAGTGATTTCATCCACTTTACACCTTATTTTTGACTCATTCCATTGTTCCAGTCTACCAAACTCTCAGATATTTTGCTAGTATTCCTTCCATTCTGTCAAGTGAGTACAAGAAATCACCCATTTACCTATTTCAACTACCCAATAAAGTCAGAAACTGGTAATTTGGCCAATTTCACACAAATTTCAAGAGACACTAATTTCAAAATAGGGTCCAGAATAAGCAATGTAGACATTCCTGGCACTAAAATAACATTTTCTCTGTTCATCAGTCATGTCTCCAGGTCCCTCTTATATTACGCTTGCTTTCCATTTACTGTTACGTAAACTACTGCATTATTGTAATAATTGTATAAATAATGTCAACCTATTCATGACTGCATATTAGATCTGCCAGTTGAACACGTATTAGATGGTGATGTTATTTGTTTACTCGAACATCGGCAAAAGTTGAATATTTCTGCTACTTTGAGCTCAGTTTTAAAAAGTGGGAGTGCTTTCTGTCTGAAACAATAAAAATATATTATTTCTGTTTTTCTGTATATATCTTTCATTCTTCAAATGAGACCAAACAAATGGAATACACCCAAAAAAAAACCGTACAAATATCCCCCCCAAAGGCCTGTTTTACCCAAAAACACAGTTGCAGTTTTTTTTTTTTATGCAGGCTTTCGCAGGTTTTTTTTTTTATAGTGCCCCTTCCCACACAGACCTTTTCCTATATGTAGGCCCCAAATTACTGGTCACGTTTATCTGAGTGGCTGGCTCTGGAAAAAAAAGTGGTTCAAACCCACCTTATTTTATGGTGATTACGGTGTATGCATTTACACGAAAAGCATTTCTTTTATTATTGGAAAATGGCTAGGGCTAAAAGTGAGCGTTATAAAAATAAATGGTTAAAAGAAACGGGAAATGACTTCCAGCAAGTGGCGCCCCAAATAGTAGCAGGGGTTTGGTGTGGTGACCGGAAAAAAATTATGTAGCCGAAATTAGTGCCGGATTATGCGGAACCAGATTACTGAAATGCGGATTAGGATGGCCAACCTGTCCCGCATTATTTTTAGAATGCGTACTTGTTTTAAATTTTTCTTATACAAATATTACATAATATTTTTTTTTATAGTTTTACAGTTGGAGCCTTCATAAGACCCTGGCAATGAACTGGAGGAATGTAAGGTTTTAATATGAGTAAACGGGCCCAAAAGGACAAAAGTGACCCCAATCCCTGCAAAAACAATGTGAATACCCAGTCTAACTAGTTGAAGAGTTTTGCATACAATATAGTAACAATATTGAGCAAAAAAAAACTGAAGAAGTCAGGTGATAAAAAAAAAAAACTTACCCTGAAATTTGTGTCCTTGTAGGTGTTTGGGATACTGGGGGCGAATTACCTCAGTGGGGGCCTGTCCTGTGCTGGGGATTTCCCCCTTCGAAGGGCCCGCTCAAATCCCAAAAACACACCCCCAAAGCCCAATGACTCCCACAGCACCACATTGTCCCACTGTCTGCAACAAAAGTGAGATTAGAGCTGATATAATGTACTGTTTAAATTTTAATTTTTTAATTAGGGAAAGGGGCCTATATATCTGCTTTTAGCCAAAATGTACCCCTAGTGCTTGGTGTCCCTTTTTTGGGTTGTCTTTCCCAACCCTTTTCTAAAAAGTTAACATTTCACCCTAGTGTTGGGGTTTCCTTTATTATTTTTATTATAATCAAAAAAAAACGCTAAGCCCCAAGGGCTATACAGTGCTGCAGGGGTAGGGAAGGAAGCGAGGGTTTGGATGGGCAGAAGGGAGGAGGGAGTCAGTGGTTCAGAAAACAGGGGGCAGGGGATAGTTTGGGGGTAGGGGTGAAGAGATTGAAGTAGAAAGGGCGAAGGTATCAGAATTTGTGAAAAATAAATCAGTTTTGTCAAAAAGTAATGAGAGTGCTGGATGAAAGGTGGGTCCAAACAGGGAAGGGGGAAAGGAAAGAGGAGCGCAGAGCGAAGGGCGGACGGGGTAAATTTGCCGTGCTCGTTGATAAAGTGGGAAATCCACAGATTGGCTGATGATAAGGATTGGGAATTTTCACAGATAGGAGCGGGCGCCCTCTCCATGAGATATCCCTGGTAAAACGAGTATGGCCAAGGGAAGACGGGGGGGAGAGTAGTCTCCAACCTCGCATGGTGATAAGAAGACGGCATAACCTATACTCGGTTTAAAAGATTGAAGTTTTTTGCCGAGATGTAGACCCCGTTGTTGCCAACGGGTGTGAAGTTTGGGGAAGATATTGCAGCAAAAAAGTCTAAATGGAAAAACCTCACTGAAACTGGTAGGTCAGTACTGCTGCCGCGCACAGTGTCTGCATTTCATTTCCTGTACGTCAACTGACCCGGGACCCCAAAAAAAAACTATTATCTTTATGCTTGGTAAAAAATGCGGCGTAGCCCAAAATTGGATACGGAGGGCTAAGGGGGAGGTGTATCAAATTTTTGATAGCGAAAACAAAGGGGGGTCTAGCAAACCCAATGATGACACAGGCTAGATGCAATACGGGTAAGTGCTGTAAGGATGGCATACACAGCAGTAAAAATACTAGCCGAAGATAGTAAATGCCCTTTTACGACGCTGTCCGGAAACACTGCTGCGAATCCTACGTCGTCAGAAGACTTAGAGCCATCTGTGTACACAGCAATGGCATGAGAATGAGAGTGAAAGTGGTCAAGAAAAAGAGAGCGGGAAGCGACCGTAGACAGTTGGGCATTCAAGCAAGGGAGAGAGAAAGAAAAGACTCGAACAGCTGGAACTTCCCAAGGGGGTAGGGAAAAGTGAGATGCTACATGTACACAGAAAAAGGTGGTAATTGAAGAGAAGACAAGAGCGAATGAAGGCGAAGAGAGAAGGGACGGAGTAAACAGGGGCGGTGAACAAATAAAGAATGTCTACTAATATCAGTGATCATTCTATAAATGGAAGGATTGTGGAGATCATGAGAGCGTACAGAGTAGCGCAGGCAATGGGCATCACGGCGATCGGATAAGGATGGAACGTTCGCTTCTGCATAGGCTCTCAACAGGGGAAAAGCGAAAAGCACCAAGGCATAAACGTAATCCTTGGTGATGAATGGGGTTAAGGCTAGAGAGAGTAGCAGGAGATGCTGCTGAATAGATCTGGTCACCATAATCAAGTTTCGATAAAATAAGGGTGGAATATAGGCGAAGGAGGGTTCGACGATCAGCTCCCCATGAAAGATGAGCAAGGCTTTTAAGAAGGTTCAGCCGGCTGTGACAAGTTGCCTTCAGAGAGGTAATGTGAGGTTTCCAGGATAACCTACGATCAAAGAGGAGGCCCCCAGAAACTTGACTGTATCACGTTCAGGGATACGGGAGCCATAGAGGTACAAAGGATGACGGAGATGACAGAGCGTCTAGTGAAAGTAATTTGGTGGGTTTTAGTGCTGGAAAAATTTAAAACCACGTGTGGGGGCCCCAATTGGAAACACGGTCGACTGCATGCTGGAGAGAAACTGTAATAAGGTGCAGTCAGTGCCTGCACAAAAATAGCGAAGTCATCAACATAGAGTGATGACCAAATATTTGATGGGGAAAACTAGAGGCCAAATCATTAATAGCAAGGAGAAAAAGTGTTGTGGGTCAGAACACATCCCTGGGGGACACCTTCAGCTTGGATTTAAAATCCGGGTTTGAGCACATTATTAACCCGAACACGGAAATGCCTGTTAGTTAAAAAGTTTTTAAGGAAGGATGGTAGATTGCCCTCGAAGGCATAAGGAGTGGGCTTGGGCTAAAATATTATTTCCTCCAAGTTGTGGGCAAATGCCTTCTCAAGGTTAAAAAATATGGCAATAACTGAGTGGTTTTTCGAAAAGGCATTACGAACATACGTATCCAAGCGTAGAAAGGGGTCTATGGTAGAAACGTCCTTACGAAAGCCATATTGACGAGTGGAGAGACTGTTGTGTCTCTAATACCACATAAAGTCATTTACTAGGCGTTCCATACTTTGCAAATGCACTGGTAAGAGCAAGGGGGAATAGTGGGAGGTTTCTGCCCCCGTGTCCCCTTTTGAAAAAGGGAACAATGGTGGTTTTTCCACAGCGGGGAAGAACTCTTGTGCCCAAATAAGATTGTAAAGGCGTATAGGACTCAAGGGCTGACTGATGTAAAGTTGTAGCTACAAATATGAATGTCTTTGGGCCCAGCTGCCGATGATCGGAAGAAGGGGTTTTTGCTCCAGTTCTTAAGTGTAAAAGGAACATTATACTTTCTTTGAGAAAAGAAAAGTCAAGGGTGGCTAACCTCTGGCGATTTGGGGAAAGAAATGGGGGGCAAAGTGGGTCCCTGAAAAATTCAGACCAGATGTTGCCTTTTCATTGGCAACATCTAGTGGGTTTGTTATCAACCCGGAAACCCGCAAACAGGAGGGGGGTCGGGGAATTTTTCCCTCATTTTTTCGTATTTTTTTCCGATGCATCTAGAGGAAGAGAGTTGTGGGGAGACATAATCTTCCAGCAAGTGCTTTTAGCGTCACGGATGAACGGCAAGGATGCACGCTTCTGTTTAAAAAATCAAGAAGTCTCTCGTGGTTCTTTTGTCCCGGTCCCTGCCCCTGCGCAGTTCAAAAGTACTGCACGGCACAAGGGGAGACCACCAAGGCACACATTTCTGAGAATGCCTGCCCAATTTTTGGGGTATAGAATGAGAAGTGCGGTTAAAACGGGGGACGGAGAGGTGTAAAGCTCATCGAGGGAGGCGAAGAAGGAACCCTCTAAAAACAGTTTGGGTGTGGAAAAGGTTCCTTTTCCCTGTCAAATTGCCAGCGTGGGATGCAAGAGGTGGTAAAATATAAAGGGGAAGTAAGAATGTTTGGGAAATGATCGCGTCATGTAAGCCCGGAAAAAAACCAAAAAAAAGTGAAGTTAATGCGGCGGAGGAAAAGGCAGATAAAGGATCGATGCAAGAGAGAGTGCGAGCCCAAGGATAAAAATGGGTTGGTCCCGTTTTTAAAAACATGGAGGGGGTGGGGGGAAAGAAAGCCTTAACTGAATGCCACGGGAATCACATGAGACCCCCCCAGAGGAAAGGTGGGCATTAAAATCCCCAAGTAACGAATCGGTGGTGGTAATGACAAAAAACAAGAAAGGCAATACCGGAAATGATAATGCCCGAAAAGGGAGGAGATATAAAGAACAGGGGTATACCCCCTATGAAAGTGGATAGGGCTGCTGTGTAATGCGCGAAGTCAACAAATACTGATGGTAGGGAAATATCATTGTGTAGAAAAAAGGGCCTTTCATTAAGGCCCCATCAGAAAGGTCTAAGAATACAAAAAATTATAGCCTGAGATGGAGAGATAAAGCGAGTGTAATTTTGGGTTCCTGTAAGCAAACCCCCAAACAGGAAAAAAAAACGGGGAGCTAACATCTGAAGTCCCCCCCGATTACCCCCGGGGGCCGCGTATTTTCCCATGTAAATACCCCATGTTTGGCAATGATAAAAAAACCCTAAAATTCCGCAGGAAAGGTTCCCACGGACTAGGGGGTTAGAAAAGTCCACATGCGAGGCAGTGGAAAACTTTAAAGCACAAAGGGAACGGTGCGCTGTGAAGAAAGGAGTTGCACAGAGGATAGAGGAGACAGAAGGAGCGGAGGGTGGATCGGTCCTTTGAGGGTTTGGTCTCTGCAAAATTTTCAAGTTTGTTTAAAGTTTTTCAAATTTCAGAGATTCTTTTATGGGAGACAATTGGAAAGGGTTTTATGGGGAGGATGGTAAAGATTGGAACTGAATGGACTGTACCAAGGTAGGGGGGGCGAAAAGGGTGGAGGGAACTGGAGAAGGTGGAAGGGGACAGAAGAGGCAAAAACCTGGGAGGTGGCAGAAGAGAAGAAATTGGGAGGGAACAGGGTGGTGGTACAGTACGAGGAGGAGGGTGAACCTTACACTTGTAAAGACCCCAGTGAGAGGGGGGAACCAGGTACAAGACGGGGGAAGGGAAAATGGGGAGGTGGAAAGGGTAGGGTTTTAAAGGCCATTTTTTGATTTTTGAGAAGTAGGGGGACGATTGGGGGGGTTATCGGATCTTTTCGTACTGGGCTTGTGAGAGGAACCGAAAAAGCGAAAATCAGACGGGTTGAAGTGGAACGCTGAGCCGAGGACAGCAAAAAATTATACAGGGGTGATATGGGGGGGTAACCACAGAGGTGGGTGAGAAGATGGGATACCAGAAGGGGGGGACTTTTGAAAAACGGGAATAAGAAACATGAGGTAGTTCCCCTTTAGGCGGAGATGAGAAAGCCATGGGATAAGGGAGACCTTTTGCCTCTTGAGGGAAAGGATTTTTCCCCCCCGTTTAAGTGACTTGCA